CAGGAGGAACTGGCAGGGCAGCACTTTCTCCGCCTTTCCCCACCAGCCTGCTGAGTATCTCAAACAAAGGTCCTTTCTGAGTGGCAGGGGACACTCGTGAACAAAATGCACCGTCACATGGGTAGATTGTGTCGGCGGAGGAGGTGGAGGCAATGTGACTCAGATTTCCCCTCCTCCTTTCAGTCTCTTGTATATCGTGGTTCATTTTGTTCACAAGGTCCCCAGACTTTCATCGAGGATTGTTTGGACAAGCAGCAGGCTTCTGGGGAAAAGGTAAAGAGCCAGTTTGGCATAGTGGTTAGGAGCAGTGTTCCCTCTGAGCTGAGTTAGTGAGAGCTAGCTCACAGTTGTTTTTTAGCCTCCGGCTCACACATTTTTGTCTCAGCCCAGGAAGGATGGCTCCAGAGCAAAGTTAATTTATGCAGTAGGCAAATTGCTCGCTCACAACTTTAATGCCAGTGGCTCACAAAGCAGCTTAGAGGGAGCGTTGATCAGCATTACTGTGGGCATATAAGGGCCATGAGACCCAAGCACTGGCTTATCCCTTCCTGCCCTCCCTCTCACATACTGCCCAGGGCCCTTTCTGTGCCCTCCTTTTAATCCATGTTCACAGCAGTGGCCTCTAAACAATTCTGCACTGAAATCAAGTTCAACCTTCTTTGAATGCAGCCCCCCCCCTTCTGCGCTAAAATCAAGTTCAACCTTCTTTTTATTCCCACAACTTTAATGCCAGTAGCTCACAAAGTAGAATTTTTGCTCACAAGACTCCCACTGCTTAGAGGGAGCATTGCTCACAGGGTGTCTGTTGTGGAAAGGGGAAGGGGAGGGAGATTGTAAGCCGCTCTGAGACTCCTTCGGGGTGGTGAAGGGTGGGGTATAAATCCAATCTCTTCTTCTAAAGCTCCACCCTACCAATTCTTTCTGCGGCCTTTCTGCAGTCTTTTCTGCTCAGTCCAATCTTCTGTGTTTTCAAGGGCGTGCAAGCAATGACTGCCCCCCCCCTACATAATCCACTATGCAATGGCCTTGCAAGCTGATAAGGATAAAAAGTTTACCCCTCTATGAGTCCCTCCCTAAGGAAAGTCATTCATCCATACACCATTCATCAGTGTTGTAAGCCATCTCAGACGTGGTTGGGGTACGTCTAGAAGTAACAACAGTAGCAAATCTCCCATCGTATGCTAGTGAGTTTATTGGAAAGGGAAAAAAATAATCATAACAAACATTGTTAAGAGTGGTATTAAAGAGAGATGTGTTTCTATAGCATCTTTATATAAAGATGAAATATTTATTCTCGTTTCTTTCATTCAGCAGATTACAGCAGTAAGTACAAGTGTATCCCCACTGTGGATGCACACAGAAAGGTAAGTTTTAATTACAGGAAAAGTTCTGCTGTTCTTAGACCCTGATCCCAAGCCCACTGCAAAAGCAACGGGAGGTATGTTTTTTTTTCTGTACATCTTGGTGAATCGGCCCCTCTCAATGCTATTAAAGTTTACTTTTTAAAAATATTTCACATAGTGTACTATGCAGCATTTCTATAACTTCTATGTACTATATGCAAATCTACAATCCCAAACTTTGCCCCAGGGAAAGCTTTATGCTCACAGTCTTCCTAGAGACCTCAGGAATGGGACAATTTAAATATTACAGTATTTAAGAACGAATAAAATATAGAATTCTGTACAGATATTATACAGAGGAGTACCAAGGGCCAAATTAGATGTGATGGGGACAATATTTTTCCCGTGTGTGCATGAGCTCATCCCCACCCCCAGGAGGGGTCTGTTCTTTTACACAAAATGGAGCACGTGGTGAGGGTGGGCTAAAGATCCTCCTTCGGTCACCTGACCTCACTGTGCCCTCTCGTGGTTTCTTGTCAGACAACAGCAACGTTTGTTGGGGAGAGATGTAAAAAGTACATTGATTGTACCTGTGACTTTCCACATTGGCTAGAACAACGGAGGGTGGAAGTGGGAATGTTGCCTCAAGCACACAGTGCAGCTTAATGAGGTGGGGAAAAGGAGAGGTCTTTAGTTCCCCTTGTCCACGTGCTCCAAAACAGGAGTCCCCGGCATGCATTTTTCACATAGTGGATGGACGCTTGCATGAATACACATAGATAACTTTGTCACATCTAACTTAGCCCTCAGTAGCTTGAGGATTGCAGAAAAAGAGGCCGCCACAAAACAAAGATGCTTGACTCAACAGTTCTTTAAACCAAAGAGACAAGTGAAGTGATACAGTTAAAACTACTTGATTTCTAAGTGCACTTTGTAAGAATGCTTCCTGCAAGCGGAGCTGGACCCAGGCATCTCTGGTCTCCTAGAAGACCATGGAAGCTTAATCTTTCTATTGTCCTCTCCCTCACTGCACCCAGCAAGACATCTGCTGAGAGGTCCATCTCATAGCACTGGCCCACCTGCAAGGTTGGGGGGGGGACAGGGTGTCCATTGGCCTTTCCATTGCATCTCCCTTCTCCTTCCCCCGTTCATGTCTACCTCCCTTTCCAATTATGGTTCTATTCCCTTGCTCAATTACCGCCATCATCAGTCATGGTTTTTTCTTTTGCCCCCAGTTGCGGCAATCAGAGTCCTCACACTCCTTTTAGTCCCATCAACACTAGTGTGTCTAAAAGGAGCAAGACAGAGACATTGCTGTATTCCAAGAGCCTCTGGGCCATTTGGGAGGAGTACCTGGAGGAGGAGGCAACGGGACACACTTCTCTTGGTCTCTGCATCCATAATAGCATTCAGAAACTATTCCCATTGGGATATTAACCCAGCATTTTCACTGGAAGTGGAACTCAGCAAGCACCCAGCCAGGCCGATCTTTGAAGCCGGCTCTGCCAGGAAATGAAAGGGAGATAAATGTTTAACCTGGAAGAGGCGAAAGCCATGTATTACCTACATTCCTTCTACATATATAAATAAGCCACTTCAAGCAGGTCCGTGGAGAGGCAGCATATATACATTTTCTAAATAACTCTAAATATATTATACCTTTTATTAAGACTAACCAAAGTAATGGAGCATAGTGTTCAAGCCTTCATCTTCACCAGGCTGGATGTTTACTGCCCCCCCCCCCGCCGGCTTTTGTTTTGCTATGAATTAATGTGGCTACTTTGACTGTTGTCTACTTTGTCTTAGTGTATAGAGAGGGACTTTTCAGCTGGACAAAAAGAACCTGGGAAGGCACAAGTAAGTAACATTAACCCAATTTGGTTTCCTTTGACCCTTTACTTAGTGAATTCACCCAAATTAACCTCTATTATTGTAAACAGATAGCCATGTTTTCTATGCCCCCAGCTGTTTAAGGAACCTGTGAATTCTGTCTGGCATCAGAGGCACATTGGGTCAACCTCTGTGTTTTGTGTTTTCAGATGGATGGCTTCTGTATTCTGCTTCTTCCTCCCAGAAGGCCAGGGATACATCCAAACTCAGCTGACTGTTCCACACAGCATAAATTCAGAAGTCTTAAGATCACGGTCTGGAAGATGTCTCCCCAGCCTCCATTTTTTAAAAAACATCCAGCCTGGTGGAGGGCTCCAGAGAACTCGAAAGCTTACACACAGTGTTCTGTTATTCAGCTTGGTCTTAATAAAATATATCACATGGCTTTTGTTCTTGGATTTGGCAATGGACCAACATGGCTATCCAAGTCTTCTGTCTAAGGAACAACACACAGATCTCTCTCCTGGTGCTCTGGGTAGCCCCTCCTGTATGACTGGCCCCAGGACCAAGGCTGGATATCCCACCCTCCTGCACTGGCCATGCTTGCGAGTCATCACGAGCATCGGGAAAGAGAAACAGCCAAAAGCCTCATTACACAATCACTGTTTCATATAGATAAGTTCTATTGCCTTGCCAAGTGTGAGCTTTAAGACATAAAAAGGCATTCGATAGGATCGTAAAAACCCTGCTTATTTTGTAGTGATGTAAAAATAGTAGCACAGGACTTTCACTGGTATCTTTGACTACATGCAATTTTGAAATTGAAAAAAAGAGAATGAAGGGGTATTTAAAAATAGTGTTGCCAGCCTCCAGGTGGTACCTAGAGATCCACCACTGTTACAATCAAGATCAGTTACCCTGGAGAAAATTGCTGTTTTGGAGGGTGGACTCTATGGTATTATACCCTGCTGAGGCCCCTCCCCTCCTCAAACCCCCCCCCACGCTCCACCCCCAAAATCTCCAAGTATTTCCCAACCCAGAGCTGGCAGTCCTATTTACAAATACAGAAATCAATATATTTAAACATCTTGCTATATATACATGAGGCTTAATTTAGCAAATACTCATTTTCAGAGATCAGGTACCATTGACTTTAGGGGGCATTGCTCACATGAACAAAGATCTACTTGTGGGTTTGGGTTCCAGACACCATCACAGACCACTGGCCAGCTCACCTCTTTCTGTATAATCAAAGAGACTAAAAAGTGTAGCTACAGTACTTATATAATTTTTGTTTTAAAAAATGGCATTTTATCTTTTAGCTTGAGCCCTGTTATTGCTAGACTAAACTGAAGCTTCCAGCGTATTCCGCAGCATTCATAAAGGATAAAACTGAGAGGCTGCTTCAGACGACTGGATTTCCACTTGAGCCATCTTAAACCGGGTGCACTGCAGCCATTTGCGGAGGACGGAGGCAATCGTGCTCGTTTGGCCGGACCCCTGTAACATTCTAAGGCTATGGTGGTTCACGTTGTTTTGAATAGCTTGCAGGCGAAGCTGGAGCCCAGCGGATAAATGCTGTTAAAGCAGACAAAAGGTTCTGTGTCAATACTTTCTTCAACGCCTACATGAAATCCCAATTGTTATTATTACTACAAGTTAAAGTCATGCAAGGAATCATAGATGGAAGTTTAAAAACTGGGAGTTTTCCCCTCTCCCAAGTAAAATCCCCCCATTTTATGACCTCTGAGGGCCTGAAGAAAGCCATTTCTCTGTATTTACCCTAAAATTTAAAAAACATCAACAATCAACTGTCCTCAATATTCTGGATCTTCTAGAGCAGGGATCCCCAAGATGGTGCCTGTGAGAGCCATAGTATCTGCTGACAACTTTCTTGTTAACCACCAAGTGTTTTAAGAGAGTGGGCAGGACCAAATGGAGCTTTGGCCCATCAGGGCTTCTGATTGGTCACTGGAGATCTGATTGGTTCCGCAGATCTTTTTAAAAAATCATAACTTTGGCCACCATCATAACACAAGGATCTTTACTGTGTGACTGAAGATAAGCTGTGTCTAGCCAATAAAATATTTTAAACAATATGTTTGTTTTAAAAGGGATCCTATTTAACAGAGCTTCTGCCTGAAATGTTGATGAATTACTATTAGAGTTATGCACAAACTAACTCCCTGATAGTGTGGGGCTGGCTCCGCTTCCTGCAGCAGCCATTTTGTGGTTGCATCCACCACCCTATGTCAGAATTCCAAGTGTGCCCGCAGGCTCAAAAAGGTTAAAGAACCCTGTTCTAGAGGACAATATGCAGTCCTCATAGGGATGTTCTTTTGTGGTTTCTCTCTCCTTTGTTTAATTTCTTGATTATTCATTTACTTCATTCATACACCTTTCTCCTCAATTGGGACCCAAAGCCACTTGAATTGTTCGCCCCCATTTTATCCTCACAACCAGTGTTCCCTCCAAGCTGAGTTAGTATGAGATAGCTCAGTTTTTTATCCTTCAGCTCACACATCTTTGTCTTAGCTCAGGAAGGATGGCTCCAGAGCAAACTAATTTATGCAGCAGCTAAATCACTCGCTCACAACTTTAATGCCAGTAGCAATCACAACTCTGTGAAACAGGTTAGGCTAAGAGTGGGTGACTGGCCTAAGGCCACCCAGGAAACTTCCATGGCGGAGTGGGGACTAAAACCTGGGACTCCCGGATCCTAGTCTAACATTCTAATTCAGGGGTCCCAAACGTGGTGCCCACCACCCTGTGTCAGAATTTCAAAGATGCCCACAGGCTCAAAAAGGTTGGGGGGCCCAGCTCTAACTGCTACACCACACTGGTTCTCAATGTCTAAACAAAAACTTTTCTGCATTCCTGGAGAATTCCATGATTATGCATAATTACCTGTCTTAATTATGTGAAGCCACATCCCCTACTGACCTCCCCTACTGATGTTGCCATTAGAGGGGATGCTTTTTTAGGCTTTTAAACAGCTAATCATATCACCCGGGGAAATACAAATTTCTCCCAGGCAACCAGATGGCAGTCCATCTTCTTCGAAGTGGTGTCCAATTGTGAAATGAACTTTCAGTCATCTCATTTCTCTTCACATACAGAGCTTTTTGAAAAAACCATGTCACACATTCATCTGACAGTCTTCAAAGCTTTAAAGGTCCTTAGAAGGGGGTTAGATAGATTCCTGGAGGACAGATCTATCAAGGGCTACTAGCCATGATGTCTAAAGGGAACCTCCACATTCAGAGGCAGTAAGTCTCTGGATACCAGTGCTAAGAGGCAAAATTAAGGGAAGACCTTGTCTTCCATATCCTGTTTTTGTCCCCCAGGACAACTGGTTGGCCTCTGCGTAATACAGGATGCTGGACTAGGTGGACCACTGATCCAACAGGGCTCTTCTTAAAGGCTGGTTTACCCACATGAATGTTTTATCACTTGATTACTGCACCATCAAATGATGATTTGCATGTGAGACTAGTCCATCACAGATATGACACCACAGACATAGTAATTTTCTTTTTGCTATATATCAGCTTAAACGCACTGCTTTTCAGTAGAATCCTTTCCCATGTTCAGCAGTCAACTGTCAATTAATTGACAAGCATACACATGTGAACCAGGTCTATGATATTCTGGTTGACCAGATGCAAAATGTAGGACAGCTGCTGATATCCCGTCTTCTACATACCAACTTATGAGACATTGGCATGTTCCACTTGAGTGGATTTTGTGACTAACTGGAATTCCCGAAACAGATTGGGTTCTTCCAGTAGGTTTCATCTAGAATGATTCTACAGGTCAATCAGTTTCAATCTGGGATGTGTTGAGGGGATGTATAGATGGAAGGGATCACTAACCTTTAGATTTGACTGAATCATTGGTAGCCACATCGGAATCAGCTGTAGAAGAGAACTCTGCATTAGTAATAGTGCAAAGACCATGAGAGTTTCAGACTTGTTATAACTAATAACTAATGTTCTCAGTTTAATTAATATTCATAGTTTAAAGATCAAGGAACAATAGTTCAGTGGTACACCACAGCCAAAAGATCCCAGGATCATTCCCTGGCATCTCCAGTTGAAAGATGTTAGGCTCCAGATGTTGAGAAAAATCATTCTCTCCCTGAGACTCTGGAGAGCTGCTGCCTGTACTGACTTAGGAGGACAAATGACAGAAATAAAGGGAGAAGCAGCAGAGGGGAGATGCTGTTTACAAACATTATTAGAGTGTAGCCTCTCTTGTCCTTCCAGCAAAAGATATGGTGCTTTCTTTTGGGGACAATTCTCCTATGCTTCTGATTTAGCACCACAATGCCAAACAGGGACCACAAGATATTTTGGTCCTGACAAACCCTTGGAGTCCCACTATCTCAGCTCTATACATTTGCACCGAGGTATGGACCTCATCTGTATCTTCCTCCAGAGGGAAGTAACTTAAGGCCAGATGTTGTTTGTCTAAGAGAAGGGAGTTACTACTGGACATATGTTCAAATGACCCAAGGTTTCCACCTGCCCTGTTGGCTGAAATTTCTGCCTGTGTCATGAGGACACTTTCCCCTGTGCCACTGCAAGAACATTTTCATCATCAAAATATGACAGAGTTTCATGTTTTGTTTTTTTATGAAACACAAGAACCTCCTGGAGAGCAAAATGCTGGAATGAATTAAACAAAAGTTCCCCTCTTCTCCCTTTCCCCTAAACGATGACATCCTTTTTGGAGAGGGATACAGCCAAGTGACCTACAAGCTAAGCTCAGAGGCTTCCAGCTGCATCAAATTACCAGTTCCCTGCTATTACTTAGTGTTATGAGGAACAAACTTTTAATCTCCTGTGCTAACTCCAGACCAGGGGAAATTCAGGTCCAATTGCCCTCAGAGAGCAAGTATGGGGTAGTGGGTACAGCGTCAGACTTGAGGGTCCAAGGTTTAAATCCCACTTGGCCATGAAACTGGGTAGCGCTCCCTCTCCCTCTCCCTCTCTCTCTCAGGCCAGCTGAACTCATACAGTTCTTGAGAGGATAACATAGAGGAAGAGTGGGGATAAAAGTGTAACAGACAGTACCAGACAGTACCAAAAGTCAAAAGTACCATAGTGCTTATTGTGTTGTTAGTAAATAACAATGGTTAGAGTGCCATACTACAATCTGGGAGATGTATGTTTGAACTTCCATTCTGCCATGGAAGCTTGTTGGGTGGCCTTGGGCCAGTCACTGTTTATCTGCCTAACCAACCTCATAGGGTTTCTGTTGGGAGTGAATGAAGTTTTAAACCGATCTGGGTCCCCACTGGGGAGAAAAGTGGGTTGTAAATATCTAAAAGACATAAAGATATTAAGACCCACCTTAACAAAAATAGTTGAATTGCATTCCTGTAAAGCCTCTATTAAGCTGATCACATGGAGACACACCATCTCTACCATCTGAGGGGCAAAGAAGTACGTCAAGAGAAATACATTTCACGAAAACTTCCACGGCAACCATATATTCTCGATTCATTTATGGCTTTGACATACCATCCTGGACCTGGCCATTTACCATTAATCATAGAGCTAGAATTGCGTTTTCTTTTTAAACTTACTAGATTGTCTCTGAAAACTATCTTGCTCCAAAATCGTATTTATTCCTTACTCAACTGAAGTGATTTACAGTTCTGAATCTGCAGTGAGCCATGAATACATATCACACCGATTTCTCTTCTAAACATGAGATATGTCGTACAGGAACTATTTTTGATGTTGCAAATATTGCCTTGGCTCCTCTGGGCAAGTTCTGGGCGTCGGGTTATCCTATTCCAGGTGGGGCTGGAGATCTCGCAGAATCACAACTGATCTCCAGAACAGAGGTCAGTTCCCCTGGAGGAAATGGCAACTTCAGAGGGTGGACTGCATGGAACCACATCTTTGCTGAGCTCCCTCCCCTCACCCAACTCTGCCCTCCCCAGGCACCATCTCCAAATCTACAGAAATTTCCCATGCCCTAGTTGGTACCCTGGTGTTGTGCAGTGTGCTTCCTCTTCTGCTAAAAGTTCAGATCTTTTCAACAGCCCCTTCCTCAAATGTAAGTTTTAGAGGAAGAGGGAGCATGTTCCACTGCAGAGACTATCTAATGTTCATGGAATTCATTCATAGGATTCAAGCCATTGTTTGAAACTTTATCTTATGTAAATATAGAAGTAAACCAAGGCCACCAGAGGAATTACAGTGCTTGACCAAACCATGTATAGATTCCCTATCATATTACTAACAAAATTAGCTCCTTCGAGGGTAATTTATTTTACTTGGCAAAGAGTAGACCATCACATTTCAAAACAGTGAGTGGGGGTGGTATTCCTATTTTATACGCAATTCTGCCAGTGCTGGGAGACTAATGAGTGTCTCCTCAAGACCATTTGGGTGCACTTAATGATTTTTGGGCATATCTGAGATTAAAATCAAGAAATTCTTTACCCAGTGCCACAATTATCCAATAAGGTAGTTCTAGGTCAAAGGAGCTCCTCTATATACAGGGGCAGGGGCAGAAGAGACACACCCATATCCAAAATTCTATAAGGTAGTATAAATGTCCTAATGGAGGCCTGTGGAAATTCATGGCAGATGGTGAAGATGGGGCAGAAGGAGAGTATCCCCACCCCTTCAGCAGATTTGAGAACTGGGTCCCTGGTGCTGTTTTGAAGAGGGATCCCAGATTCCTCCACTGTGGCCCTGAGGGGAGGGCAAGAGAGATAGACATGTCAGAGTTCGTACAATCAGCTCCTGAGAAGACAACCGAATGCCTGAGTCTTTTTTTAAAAAACTGTTCATTGTTTTGCCTTCTCAAATTTTAAGCAGTACGCCACCATGGCTGTCTTGCGGGGGGGAAGGCAATTCAGAAATGCATCAAATAAATACACAGAGTCTTCTTTCAGAGGGACCCCTGTGTCATTTGTTCTCCACAGGCCACCCACCTGTTCGGCCTAGAGAGCTGCAAAAGGTGGTGGCACCACCAGCAGTGTTTGGTCTTTCTGCAAGAACCATTTCCCCTAAGCATTTTCATTATGTTCTCCCCCCCCCCCATCAAGGTCCCAGTTTTGTTCACTAGACTCTACTGCCAACATAAGAGCAGAAGCTCAATGCATCATATAAGGTGGTCCGGGAGGACTGACCGCCACCCCACCCCGCCACCCTTGATATTGACTTCAGATTGCCTGGATGAAGTCCCTAATGTCATCTTCATCTTTAAATTATAAACCCCTTTGCTTTTGGCTTAGCTGACACAGCTGCTATGTCTGATCACTCCATCTGACTCACCACCTTGTTATGTGCCATCAGCTGCAGGATGCTCGGCGTCACTCGGCTCCAAAATTCCAGGGCTGTAAGGATTGCCGTGAAGCTAAATTCATTCTGATTTTGGACAGTCGGAGCCACTGCAGCTTGTTCACAATATACAGTCCACAGCTGGGCAAATATAAAGGCATGGAAGAGGGAACACATGTGCAAGACGGATGTCTGAGGGAAGAGTAATAAGATGAGAAATGGGACTCCTTTAAAAAAAAAAACGATGATGGGTTGCATACATTCTCCTTCAAAAATGTTACACTGCAAAAATTCCTTATTCCACTACATGCACACCTGTCAAAGTAATGCTAATCAAATACCATTCTGTCAAGAATCCCCTCAGATTTTCCTTCCTGTCAGCATACAGTGAGTGATATGTCAACACATTCATATTGAAATATCTAGTTTACATTCAAAGGGTAACATTAGACAAAAGGGATAGAGAACTTGACGTCTCTGAAAAATCACAGAGTTCTTTGGAGTATGGGAAGGCACAACTGTGATCAATGGACTACTGCAGCTTAGGCCTCTATAATAGTTTGGGGTCTGAGAAGTACCCACAGAAATCCATAAAGCTGCCTGAAAATACTGTATAAAACTGTGTGTGATCTCTGTGGGCAAGTTCATGGTAGCCAAGGAAGATATTTCAGAGAGGTTTATAGAATCAGAATTTCTGTTTCACTCTTTATACTATGGTCATTTCTGAGGGACATTCTAGTTCATCAGTCCCATGGCTGGATCTTCTGACTGGGAGAGAGTCTGATGCTACAGTGGCACCACAGCTAGGTCAAGTTAGGAATTGCTAAAATTGATATATGTGTTCAATACAGCCAATGAGGGAGGGGCAGATGAGGACAACAGGACTGTGGACCGTACAAGTGTGAGGAGCCAAAGGTGCCTCATCTTTTGCACTAGCCAGAGATTTCAAAGGCTATGGCAAGCATCTGAGGTAACAATTCTAGGTCTCATTTGAATCCTGCTTCTTGCTCTTGTTAGTACCAAATGTACCCACTTAGAACAATTGTGCAGGTGATTACTGGGAAAAAATGTTCAGCCTCTAAGCCCACTCCGCTCAGAATCTTAATTCAAATTGATTCAGTGGGACTTTCTCTCAGGATCGTCTTCTTAGTATTGCAATGTAGGAAAATGAAGATCACCCTAGTCTCATCAAGTGGTCAGATGGCCGAAAGTTGCTGAGAGCTTCCTTGCAGATGCAAGGAATGGAGGAACTGGCTTTTGTCACCATCACCACTCCCCAGTCACAGGCCTAATGACTGCAGGCTGTTCTCGGAATCACTGTCACAGGACAACGGTTCTTCCGGAGGTATGTGCAAAATATTTAGGGAATCCTGTTTCTTCAGGGGGTTCAGCTTTTTAATTAAACATAATAAAATATTGTGAGCTATAGATAGAAAAATCCATATATTCAAATATATATATCTATCTGTACTTTTAAAACTGTGTCCTACATAAAACAACTCAGAGCTCTGATAATTCTATGGAATTTAGTTTGGACCCTAGGGATGAGTCAGCCCACAGTGCCATGCAAGTTAGCCTGTAAGCCTATACAGCACACTACACAATGTCATTTATTCACAATAGTCATAAATAATTCTCATACCTTGGACTGCTCTGGAAACCCAATCAGGATTACGATTAAGTGATCAGCAACATGAGAGCCGGCGTCCAGTGGAATGGGCATACAAACCAAAGGGGAATTTGGACAGACGACATTATGTGTCAGCGACCCCAGAAGAAGCCAGGAGAGCAAGCGGATGTGAGTTACGCATTCAATGAATTCTTTGGGCCTGTCGGACAAGAATAATAATAGAGGGTATGCTGTGTATAAGTTTCTTACCCTTTCAAAAGACCCGCCCAGACATGGCTGTTGCACAGTTTAATGAGGGGGGGGAGTGGTTCTGTGGATTCTTTCAAACCACATGACAGCTGGACCCTGTTGTGTCCCATAAATGATCTTAAGTCTGGAAGCAGGCAATGATTTTTGAGGAAGGTCCGTGGGGTTTGCATGTGGCATCACTTACCACAGGCTTCATTCCAACTTTCATTTTGCCCTACTGTCATCTTGTGCTCAAATAGTAAGTATTTGAAATGACAGGAAAACGTGGGACAAAGAGGGACATGAAAGGAACATGAAAGGGTCATGAAAGATGGACACAATGAGCGGAAACACCTCATCACACTTCCTTCAACTTTCTCTCAAAAATCAAATTTATCTCCAGCTTATATTCAAGTGTTCACTAATATTGGACTGTGCACATATAAGACCCCAGTTTAAGACCATGCACTTTCATGGATGATGAGGCCTTCAGAAATGCACTCGTCTCTACTAGACCATTGTTTGTAAAATTATACAGGGCCAATTACATGGACTTCCTAGAATTTTTGTTAAATTCCTTTAAACTAAAGGGCTATCCAGCTTAAGAGAGTGGCACACATTTTCATTGTTATTGGATGTTGTATAAAGTGAGTGTTTACTGAGATGGGGGGGTCCAAGCCTATTTCTGCAATTGAAAACAGTTACATGCTGCCTTTTCAGGGACCTGCTAAAGGTGGCTCACAATGTTAACAGACAAAATCATACACTATAAAAGCATTTAAATTAACATACTTTAAAACCCAGCTATTAAAACCCAGAAGTATATAAAAGCATATAAAAGCAACTATAGTGCCTATATTACAATGTCCTTAACACTAGCTGGTTCAGGAACAGCTGAAGAAATTATTCCTTGCTAAACAGAAACTAGGTGGATTAATGTTCTTGTGCTGACAATCAGGGATTTTTTTGTAGAAAAAGCCCAGCAGGAACTCATTAGCATAATAGGCCACACCCAACAGCAGAAACTCATTAGCATATTAGGCCACACCTTGACAGCACAGCTCATTAGCACATTAGGCCACACAGTGTGGTGATCCAGCCACGCCCACTTTTTGCTTCTTATTCTGTTTACTTTGTTTATTCTCAAAACCCAGGGCTTTTTTTGTAGCAGGAACCTCTTTGCATGTTAGGCCACACACCCCTAATGTAGCCAATCCTAATGGGTTTCTGCCGTTGGGTGTGGCCTATTATGCTAATTAGTTCCTGCTGGGTGTGGTCAACTCAGGAGCCAGCCGGAACTCCGTTCCTGTGTGTTCCTGCCCCAAAATAGCCCTGCTGACAATATACCACTTGCAATGCCTGTTCTAAGGGCAGTAAAAGCCTGGTGCTGCCAGTTTCTCCAGGCCAGTTTGGACAGAGATCCTGGGTGTGGGGGGTTTTTTGGTCATCTTCTGGGCATGGAACAGTGGTCACTGGGGGTGCAGGGGGGGAGGTATTTCCTGCATTGTGCAGGGAGTTGGACTAGATGACCCTGGAGGTCCCTTCCAACTCTATGATTCTATTCTGCCTAGCAGTATCAGCTATGAAACCATTGAAATCTCACCTCATTCAGCCATGAAGTCACCCTAGGAATGCTATACTGTGCTTGCAAGCTCAGCTCCCCAGCTCTAATGTTAAGATGATAACATAGGCTTAAATATAAGGCAATTGTAAAATTTACTCAACCAACATATAGAAGTACCCTGAAAACTTGAAATGTGCTATGGAAATACTAAAAATTATTATTAAATGGACGCAAAATGTACACAAGATAAGAGTTAAGCCCCAAAATTGGACGTTCCAGAATGTCACTTCTTTTGGAAAGGTATTGCATGATTGTTAGTTGCAAGAATGTCACATGTCTTTCCTCATGGTCTATTTTTTATCATATCATATTTTCCTAGCGCTCAAATCACAACATTTTGACATTAGGAAAAAGCAATTCCCCCACCCTTCTCTGCAACTACTGGGCACATTGGTATTGTAATCTCTGCCTGGAACATAGTTATATATACATTTTATAAACTGCTCTTGGGCACTGCCTTTGTGGTGATGAACATTACAACTCCTCCTCTCGATCATATCCACATCATTTCATGATCTATTCAAAATGTACCAACTATGTCTTACCCCTGTTGCATTGCAGATGGCGGGTGATATAGCCAAGGTAGATAGCGAACTACAGCCTTGTTATCCCTGTGGTTGCCCCGCGAGATCTCCATTGCAGCAATTTGAGCTAAACCAACTTTGAGATGTCCACCAAAAGTGTCTTCATGGAGTGGTTGGGAACATGTCTTCATGTGACTCTAGGGTGCAAAGGCATTCAGTGTATTTAGAGAATACGTAGGGATATGAAAGGCATTTTAAAAACAACAACACCAGAACATTCTCCAGTTTCCACAAAAATTATGAAGATTGTAATTATTAGTTGCTGTAGAACCTGACATTTCACCACTAGCTGTGACTGGCATCCTTAGGGGTATAACACAGAAAGATGGCGTAATCTCTGCGTCAAGGTGAGAAGAAAAATGGTAGGCAGGTAATTTATATCTACTCCAGAAGGTGGGGTAGGGCTGAGTCATTATCTTGTAGGAGGGAGTCTCTCCTGTCTTTTGCCGATTGTAGCATCTGTTGTATTTTTCTGGTGGGTCTGAATACTGTTTGTAGGTTGTGTTTTTTCATAAGTTTTCCCATCTGATCAGTGATTCCTTTGATATATGGCAAAAACACTTTTCCTGTGGGATACTGTTTTTCCTCAGTTGTTTGTTTTACCTTTGGTTTAATTGCTCTTCTGATTTCATTCTTGGAGTAGCCATTTGCTTAAAGTGGGTGATTTAGATTATTTAGTTCGTCATTGAGAAATTGTGGTTCACATATCCGTCTGGCAAAACGTCAGGTTCTACAATGCCAAGGCCATGGCCACACAACCTGGAAAATCTACAGCAACTAATGAACTCTGGCCGTGAAAACCTTCGACAACATATTGTAATTATTATTTGACCCAAAAGGGTTCACAGTGAGTTGAATCCAATGTTTGCTGTGTGGGCAATTTTCACTGTTTCCCCACTCTCACTGTAAACCCCCCCACAGCATTTCCTATGCTGTTCTTGGAGACCTCCTAAAACCTGCAGGCAGAATTTGGGGGGGACACAATGGTCTGAACCTGGAGAAGGAAGACCCATTACATGAGCAAAGCATTCCTCACAATTCATTGGATCCAACCCAATATTATCAGTAAAAAACAACAGCAAAGAAACAGAAACATTCACAGAGTACAATATAACAAAGAACCAGTAGCCAACAGGAAAATTAGCATATATTGTCCTTGTTCGCAAAGAAGAATAACTATAGATTGACTCCATAGCTTAGAATCAGTCCTAGGACTAAGAGGAACTTTAGAACCAGGGAAAGCCTTTACTGATCAACAAAGTCCAGTAACACATCTCTGTGGTAGATGTCACCTTCTGGGAAGGCTATATGGTATGCGGCAATAAATAAAATTCCTGTGTTGTTGCTCCATATGTATGGAATTCAGTACCACTTGAAATTCCCCAGATTTAAGTCTTTGGTCCATTTAATGAGCTTCAAAGATGCTTCTTTTGATTAAGTTTGTATTCATCTTCATGTTTTTATGAGTTTTTTTAAAAAATAGTTTACATCTTTTATAAGCTTAATCTGCTGCTGTCTTTATACAGCTAATAAATAGTTTAAATAAACAAGTAAACAAACATACAGGCTGTTCTCTAAGATATTTGTAGATTTTTTCTTTCTATGTACAGGTCAATAGCATTTAAAGGGTTTAATTGGCTGCTGATCTTATTTTTTCTGTTTTATTTTTAGTAATGATACGGATATGGCTTCAAATTTAATAAAAGCATTATTCTTTAGCTGCTTTGACATTTTATAACCTAAAATATTTGAAATGTCTGAAGGTCTCATTTTTAAAAAAATATTTTAAATTAAATTTTAAAATAAAAATTAAGTATTAATTTAACAAACAACATAACATAAAACAATACAATATCAATGTAACAGTATAAATGCATAACATATATGTCAAACCTCAGAGAAAAACAAGTCTTTCTAAACATCAGGTATTCAACCATTCATGTTAAAACAACCGGCCACTTCTTTAACAGTTATAACATTGGTGGGAGTGCAAGCTTGTATGGTTATTTTGAAGGTCTCATCTTATCAAAGGGTAGTCAAGTTGGGATATACATTCTATAGATAAATACATACAAATGCTGCTAAGATCATTCTACTGACTTCATCTGTATTTTTATTTAAATGCTTTTACTTTTTAAATGAATACTGTCTGCCATGTTGAGAACTGATATGAGCGGAAAAGCTGATTGAACGAATAATGTGCTGTTGAGCACCACTGAGTTGCAGCTGACTCATGTCGACCCCATCCACGGGTGTTCAAGTTGAGCAAAAGAGGTTTGCCATTGCCTGGCTCTGCATAGCAACTCCAGTCATCCAAGTACTAACCATGACCAGCCCAGCTTAACTTTCCATCTCTAACACCCTTGGAGTAATCTGGGCTAATCAGTTCTGCTGAAAAACTGGCTACAAATTCTCAAATATTTTTTTTTAAATACCATTGATCAATACACTCCTTTCCACCCATTCAATCATGTTGTGAGCAAACCGATGTTCCATTCAGGCACTCATTTCCTCAGGGTACAAATTCTGTAAGAATGTTTCCACTGTCCCCTCTGTTTCATTAAACTGCTTGGCATTTATCTGACTGGCAAGAAGACATAAACTCCTCTGCCCTTAAAGGCCTCTAATCTTTCTCTTCCACAACTTCATTCTCTTTTCCTCAGTTGCATTTGACAAAGCAAACTAATGGCCATTCAAAGAGAAAGCACTAAAACAAACTGCAATTCAATTTTCCATTCTTTGCCCTGCCTGCCCCCAGCTTCCCATGATTTATGTAGCTCAAGTGCATTTCAAATAATAAAAAATCTGAAGTCAACAAGATAAAGAGAGGAGATTTCCAGCTTTAAGAGTATGCCCTATAAAGACAATGACAAGATGACATCAGAATGTCTTTTCAAGAAACATGCCAGAGGTTTCCTTTGCAGCCTTTCAGAAATCCACAGACCTGGGTAGTCAAATAAAAACATGTGAAGTAGAAGAAGAGGAGATTGGATTTATACCCCGCCCTTCACTACCCAAAGGAGTCTCAGAGCAGCTTACGATCTCCTTTCCCTTTCCCTCCCCACAACAGACACCCTGTGAGGTAGGTGGGGCCGAGAGAGCTCTGACAGAAACGGCTCTTTTTCAAGAACAGCTGTGCCAGAACTATGTGGAGGAGTGGAGAAGTGGGGAATCAAACCCGGTTCTCCCAGATTAGAGTCCACACACTTAACCACTACACCAAACAACCTTCTATGGTGCCACTGCCACTAAGCAGCCACCAAGGGGAAGAGGGACTCCATATCCATAGTGGTAGCAGCCAGAGATCAGTACCATGTAGGATCTCAGATGCTGACTTGCCATCAACACTTGGCATGGGTTAATGAGGTCAACAGCCCATGCTCAGCAGTGCTGGCTAACCAGCAGCTGCACACCTGCACAGTACTGACCCAGCCACCCTCTGCTGCTGCTGTTCCCATGTGGCAGCTGGTGGTAAGAACCTTCTTGCCCTTGATTACCACTCAGCACTACGTTCCATTTCTCTTCACTGGCTGCTGGACCTGGGTTGGAACGGAAGGTTATCTAGGGTGATCCTGAACTTCTTTGAAGTAGAGATGAGCATCTAATAACGGCAAGGAAGTTCCAATAAAATAAAATGGAACAGACTGAAAGATTATTATTTCTAAGCTTAATAAAATAGGCAGTAGAATTGATTAGAATACCAAATCGCTTAGTTTTAATAATGAAGAATGGAATAACAGTTTTCTACCTGTTACATTGGGTTGGATCCAACAGGACCAGAATTAGTATACCCTGAAGTGGGGAAATGGCCAGGGCCCAGGTATCCCGGTGGGGCCCACTGCCAGTGACCTCCTGCCCACACATTTCTTTTTCCCCCTCATACTTGCTAGTACTCTAGTATCAATGCTCTCAGCTGCACATGCTGCCGGGGGAATGCGTGCAGGAGGTGCACAGCAGTGGCACTGCTCGTGGCCACAGTGGAAGTACTCCCAGCTGCATGCACTGCCCAATGTCATCTGAGAAATGACAGGAAAATTCACAAGCAGGAAAGGGATGTACAGGCAGCTGGGGAGCATGCAGGCAGGTGGGTGAGAAGAGGGCCTGGGGGTGGGCAGAGGGGGGCCCTAGGGCACACTCTGCTTGGGGCCCTGCAAAACCAAGGGCAAGTCATGGGATCCAACCATCTCTTCTGCTGGTGACGAATGAGAGCTCATTCATTTTTATTGTATTTTTAAAATCTGTGCACTTTAATATCTTGGTAATGGACGGATATGTTTTGTGTCCTGGCACCTTGACATTGCTTTATTAGGTGCCTTGCCTCTCAGCAAATAAGGTGAGATATAAATGTTTTAGATAGAAAGACAGACAAAATGCCTGTGCTTACTCATCAGGCCGATGAGGTGATGAACAATGCACATAACAAATACATTTCATGGTCACGTGCAAGGGACACAGTTGATGTACATGGACATTATACTCACCTTTAATTTAGTCAAGGTGTGCATATCGGCAATAAAATCCAGTATTTCCCCAATATACTGCCTCATGCACTCCATTGCTGCTGTCCCACACTAAAACACAGGGGGAAAAAGAATAGTTCTTCAAGTCACAACAGTCAAATTCAGGGCTCCTTCACAGCCCACCAACCCAAAGAAGACTATCTCACAATACTGTGGGACAAAGGTCAGGCTCCAACAGGAAGGTATGCCACCCCTGTGGTCTACATCTACTGGAGTCAAAAAAGTGCTCTTGACTAATGGAAAATACAACAAGTTGTAGAAGAAAAAATAGGCTCTTGACAATGCAGGGTACATTCCTATGCAACTGAGTAATATTTACAGATAGATTACAATTTTCAGACGAATTGCAGTGGTGTATCCCCATGGGCGGCAATACAACTGACTGTAAATAGGATGTGAATTTTTCTTCTGCTCCTTTAACCAGAGATGAGCAACCACCAATTATCATAATTTTAAAGAAAGAAGAAATCAGAATGTTCCTGCATAAAAATATTTAGACCTGGCCCCCCATCCTACCCGAGGCAATCAACTCTGCATCCTGATAACGTTACCCCTTTTTGATAGGCTGTTTTGGACCCAAACAAACCAAACTGTGTTTTATTTGCTGAAATTTGGGGCAGGGAGGAGGGGGAGAGCTACTCAAACTTTATTGGCTGCCCCAAATGTTTCTCATTTCTCCATGTTAATATAAAATTACATGAACTACACCACCTTCTGTCTTCTCCAGTGCTATGCCTGTCAATTCACTTGACAGGACAACAGGCAGTAAAAAAAATATAAGGTCACAGAGAGCCCTGTCAGAATGTCCTCCATCTTCCAATGTAACTGGAGGAAGGGATTCCACACACTGTTTCTTTCAAAACTGAGTGACGGAACGATAAAAAGGGTATTGTCTGCCAGCCTCTTGAATATCAATGGCTTGATCTGGAGGCAGAGAGTGCCGTCCTTCTTTTTGACTCTGTTTCTTCCCATACTTCTAAAACACAGCGCTTTGCAAGTGGGATAATCCCCCCACCATAATTTCTTCCAAAACCACAAGGTTCTGGCACCTTAACGTCTAACAAGTTTGCACTCCGGCATAAGCTTTTATATGGGACTCAGGTCCACTTTGTAGTTTATGAAGTGGGCTCCAGACCACAAACATTTATGCCTGAATAATGACTTGTTAGGCTTTAAGCTGCCACCAAACTCCTGATCTTTATTCCCCCACGCAACAGGATTATTATATTAAGGGCTGCTCCTCTGGAATTCTCACCAGTGAAGGCAAAAGATTCTCTGTTATATCAGACTGACTCAAAGAGCAAGCTCAAGTGAAAAATGGAACTGATGGCTACGATCTAGTAGGCTTTGAATGCCTACGGGCTTCTGTTGTTTTCATAGAAACCACATACTAAATAGTATGAAATAGGGGGGGGGGGACCTACAGAGAAATCATGCAACCCTTCACTTGATTCTTCAACACATAGAACAAACCTACAATGAGCAACCTGTGGCCTCATTTCCTACTTAGCTAGTTGCCACACTGTCAAATCTTTATGCCATGCCCTATGGAACATGGTAAGCCAGTATGTTGCTGGTTTAACTTGTCTCTTTAGGAGATTCTTCTTTGCAGAGCTTTCATCAGGCAAAAGCTAGACATTACCGCCAATCAGTAGAAATCCTTTACCCTTTCTCTCCTTCCTGTAACATTCAGTTAATGCAAATGTCTGACATGACACCATTATTTTGCAGATTTCTAGCCCTGTTCACAACTTACAAGTTATGGCTGCTACAAATAACAAAACAAGTAAATAAAAACAAATCACACCAATAAAAGCAAATCAATACAACAAACAATGGATTGGATCCCACCTAGATTTCCACAAGTGCAAAGAGGGGGGCAGTTTTCAATGTCCTCCCTCCAGTGGCAGCCCAAAGCACACGCTGAACTGCTGCTCCTGGGGAACAAGGGACCCACCGGAATAGCTTGCTGGGAATCAGAAGTCTCCAGCAGGAGGGAGGAATTGGCTAAAATCACCCTCCCCCTTGAACCTGTGGAAATCTAGATGGGATCCAAGCCAAAATATAGCCCATAAGGGCTTATACATCAATAAAACTGTTCATAAGGTGCCACAAATCTAGATGGGATCCAAGCCAAAATATACCCCAAGCCAAAATATACCCCATACATCGATAAAACTGTTCATAAGGTGCCAAAATACTCTTGTTTCTAAGTATTGCAATGATGGAGACCTGCTGCAGAGTTGTTGGGGGAGGTGCCCACAAAAGTGCTCTCAGCTTCTAAGGAAATGGTTAACCAATGGCTGCTCAGGGTCAGTTCTCCAGCACAGCCAACCAAGCAGCAACTGCATAGGATGATCCAGAAGGAGGTGTTTGCATACTGTGGGGGCTTGGCATGACTTTGGCCATAGGTGACAGGCATTGTTTGGGGCAGCCAGTGACACTACAGAATGGGCACACCTTCCTTGGGATGATTTGGGACTGACCCTACTGCTGTTCCATTGATTTAGCATTACAGTGTATGAAGCCTCCGTGGTTTTAACCATTTAATTTCCATGTTAAGATGCTAAGGATTGTTAGGATTTTGATACTTACTCCAGGCACAGAAGCAATCATCTGTTTGGGCAAGATCGTTGACTCTGCTAGTTTTGTTCCAGCATCTGCACAAACAAACTAATGAGAAATCAAAAATTAACCGATTTTGTTGGGGAGGGAAGAGGTAGAATGCAATCATTGGTAAATGATGATGTCATTAGATCAGGTCTCTGCTTGATTAGATGAGAACCAATTTTGCTGGACACAAATGGTTACCTTGCATGATAAACAAAAAGTGTTATTCATAGTCACCACTGCCAACAAGTTAATTAATAATTTTTTTAAAAATGCTTTACAATATAAAAATGAAGGTATATATTCATTTTTTTGCAGCTCGCAGTTTAAAGTACAGGATGACTTGCAATCAAAGCTTGTTACATAACATGCAAACCTGGTACCATTGTGCCAATCACAGCACTTTCATTGAAAACCAATGTGGTGTAAGGAACGGGACAAAGGAGTGGTGAAATCTGGGTTCAGATCCCTGGTCAACCATGAAGCTTGCTAGGTGACCAATGGCCAATCAGCCTAACCTATTTCACAGAGCTGTTGTGAGGATAAAATGGAGGGAAGACCCATGCATGCTACCCTGAGCAACCTGAGGGATAAATGTGGTAGACAAACATAATGCAGCTTTTCACACCAGATTAAAACATTTAGCCTTCTTGTTACTTTTCCTCCTTTTTCTTAGTCTTTTAGTCTTTTGTATGTTATTGTACACTGACTGCTTTTGGAAACAATGGAGAATTAAAAACACAGATAATACATCCCCCTATTCCAAAGTCAGGTGCCTCAATCAAAGCAAACATTTGTAATTAGAAGGAGAATTCAGACTGTGGATCTTTTACACAGTGAAATCTGACTGAACCCATAAGTTGCAGTGGACTCTTACACAGTAGACCAATGACAGAGGAGGAGACTTCCATGTTCCACTTTCCGTTTTGACTGAAACCAGCCAAAGTTACTCTCATTTTTCTTAGCTGTTTGTGTCACTTCCAAAACTGAGAGCAGTGAGCAATAGGGAGATAATGTGAGTATCAAATGTACACATCAGGAACACCTTTGTCACACAGCCCACAACGGATCTGACTTTGAAACAAAACACTCGTAGCCCCCGTGCTGCTATCTTTGTCATCTCTAGTGGCTTCCTGCATCACTAAATGTCTCACATAGATAGAGTATGAAATGACCTTTTTCTTGACTATGTTTCTACTTTGCCTTTCTTCAGTCACAGAATTCAAGATGGCAGACACAGGGTTCCTAGGAGATCTCCCATCCAAGCACTGGTCAAACCTGCTTGGCTTCAGTTACATTCTTGTAACTTGTGCCTTCCAGCCTTACTTGGGACTTTTACTTACATAAGAATATCAGCACATTGCTTGGGAATGAAAAATATCCTTCTGCCTCCCACTTGATCCAGCCCTCCACTACAGCTGGTCTCTTACTGACATAAATGTCCCCATCTATCAATGGCAGCATGGTGTAGTGGTTACAGTGCCAGACCAGGATCAGGAGAGATGGGACAAAAGCCCCATTCAGACATGATGATGGCATATCCCTTTGACTCAACCTAGCCTACCTCACAGGACTGTTGTGAGGAAAAAATGGAGGTCAGGCAAATGGCTTAGTGAGAATGCCTTGTTGGTGGCAGTTACTTGACTCTGTAATTCCCTTGCCAGGGAGATCCATTTGTCCTCAGGCAGCAAACTAACTGCATCCTTTTGTACCTGACCTTTTAGTTAGAAATTAGTCTGCCTTCTCCTTCTGGAATTGGATTTGTCTGCTCAGTTTATGACGTTGTATTTAACAGTTTTAAGCCCCCTTGAGAACTTTTTTTAAGAAGTAGAAAGGATGATTAATACATGCCTTACTTAAAGAAACAAATGCTCACCCTTCTTGCTGCCCCCACTTCAGCTACATAGACAGCCTTTTTTGAATTGACTTCCACATATCCCTTCGAGCCATGAGTGTAGTGATAGAACTTACAATTTAGAGACATTCCCTTATATTTATTGAGTTAAGAACTGGTGATTTGTAGATTTGCCCTAAGATCACAGTTCTAGACCAGTACTGCCCAACCTATGGGCTGAGAACCCCTGAGGGCTGTGGAGTGATTGCATGGGGGACGTGAATCCATCCATATTGGGAATATTGGGTCTACCTGCTCTGAGACCCCATTTCCAATTGTTGGGTGATAGTGAGATATTGAAAAAATGGTATTTAGCAAAGATAGTCCAGCAGATACCCAACACCAATCAATCAGAGGTCCCCAAGTTAGGGCTTTTTGCCTACTCATGAGAAGAACAGCTCCTAGTAAGAAGCCTGGGTAGGGCATGTTGGTTCTCATCACCCACCCCTCCCATCTCCAGTCGCAGCAATGGAGACTTGGGCTGTAGCCCTTTAAAGAGGTCCTGTTGTGCCAGCAGATTCCTTGTGGGCCTGGCCCTTCTCACATCTCTGGCAGCCCAGGAAAGCAGCCGTCAAGGGCCAGGAGCTTCACCAAGATGCATTATCTTCCCCTCAACTATCGCAGGGTAGCTTAGTAAGTATGGGGGAGGAAGGACCACCCCCAGACAGTTCATGCATTCAAAGTGAGCTCTGACTCAATAAAACCTGTGCCGGAGTAACTTTTGTTACTCTTTAAGGTGCTGCAGGAATTTTCATTTATTTGCCACCTAGATTAGTAATCACTTCATTATCAACCGTGGGAAAAACCTGCAGCTCAACACATGGGCCCAGAGATCTGAGCATATTATGAAGGTGAGGTCCTCCTTCCTCCAATTTTTGAAGACATTTCTTGTTTCATCTGCCCTACTGAAAAGTACTCAGAAACGTGGAGTGATTTCAGCAAGAGTACTTTATTCAATCAGGAACAAGACAAAGTAAGCCGGCGCGCAGGCCGGTATATATGCACAGAAACCCACCACCAAAACACACCCCCTATTCACCCTATAGGTTATTTATAGAAGCCATAGGCTCTCGGCTGCGGACCTGGCCCTCTGATTGGTGCGGGCTAGGATCCGCTTGGCTATTGTTCATGCTGAGCGAAGCTTTGGGCTAGCGCTTGACCGCGTGGCTCAACGGTCACACACGTGGTAATGGCGGAATACATTACACCTACATTTTAATTGCTGTTTTTCATGGTTCTGTATGTGTATTTTAGCTTTCGTTTTAATGGAGTTTTTATTTCGTTTTAATGGTTTTTTAAGACATGCTTTTATTACTTAGGTTTTCGATCCGTTAGCTGCCTCAGTGGCCCTGATGAGGGCAGACAGGTGGGGTATATATTTTGTGAATGAAATGAATGAATATACCCAGGTTCCTTCACTAAGGCCATGAGTAGGGGAAGCTGCCAGGCTTCCCTTTAAACAGCCTGGATCTTGACCAGTTGAGAATTGTCTCCACAAGGAATATTTTGTATTGTACTTGAATCATTTTCTTAGATTCCAATGCATGTGAGCTCCTTTGGGAGTCAACTTAGCACTGAAAAGCAAGTTAAAATCAGAACGCATAATCACCCACCAGTTGTTCCATCAAGGACTGAAAGCTCATTGGGCATCCAAGCAAATTCCCATGAGTGCAGACTAACTGCTGGCTGTGTTAGCAAATGGCTCATTCTAGGCAGCTACACCAATAACTCTAGACTACACAACCATATGAAGCTTTCTTATACTGTGTCAGGGTCTCTGTACTGTCAAACCTCCAGTCTCTGAAACCTGCAGAGCAGCACCAGCCCATCTTACTAAACGACTCAGTATCATAAATAAACATATCTTCTGTAGACTGAATAAATAATCTGTCTCACACATATATGCATTACTATTTTCAAATGTATATTGATGCAGTTGTGATTAATAAAACACAAATCCATTCAAAAACATTAATGAATTTGTAATAGCCTTTTGTCATTATAGATTTTCTCAATCAATCTATATATCTAATAGCCAACTTGCCCCCTCCGTGCGGATACTTAAATCAGCACGGAGGGGGCAGCGGGGGGGCCGGGGGAGGTTTGTGCACACGTGGGCCAGTCCCCACGTGTGCACAAAAATACAAAAAGTTTTTAAAAATTTCGGGGGGATGTTTAAACCCCCCCGAAAGTGCAAGAGCGTCTCCTGCGCATGCGCAGGAGACGCTCTGCAACGCCGCCGCCTCCGCCTCGGAGCCAGACGGGCTGGCAGGCGACGGGGGGGAGGAAGCCGGGCCTCGCCGCTGCCGCCGCCTCCCCGGAGCCGGCTGGCGGGGAAACCGGGGAGGCTGGGCGGACGGGCGGGCAGGGAGGGAGGGAGGGAGGGGGGAAGCCGGGCCTCGCCGCCGCCACAGCCG